GGGCATGAGACTGTGTGACTGTGCAGTCAGCCCCAGCAACAAGACAGGAGGTAAGAGATCTGCTTTCCTTGAGAAGGCCTCTCACAGTGACCCTTACAGCTCCAACTTTGCCATGTGGAGCACATTCCTGGGTTGGCAGACTCTCAACTTCAGACGTCATTCTGGCCAAAAGAGTGCTTTTTTTTTTTTTTTTTGACAGAGTCTTGCTCTGTCACCCAGGCTGGAGAATGCATTGGTGTATTCTCGGCTCACTGCAACCCCTGCCTCCCGGGTTCAAGTGATCCTCCTGCCTCAGCCTCCTGATTATCTGGGATTACAGGTACCCACCACCATGCCTGGCTGATTTTTGTATTTTCAGTAGACACAGGGTTTCACCATGTTGTCCAGGCTGATCTTGAACTCCTGACCTCAGGTGATCCACCTGCCTCGGCCTTCCAAAGTGCTGGGATTACAGGCGTGAGCCACTGTGCCTGGCCCAAATGAATGCTTTTGATACAAGAGCCTAAGAAGGCCAAGGAGGCTGAGGGGAATTTGAAGACCTCTGTTTAATGATTCTGCTTTGGTTTCCCCTTCTGCTTTTTACTATCATTCGTATCTTTCAAGGTGAAGCCTTCCAGGCCAGCAGCCCAGCCACAAGGACACTCTCTCTGGGGAAAGGGGAAACTTCTGGAGTTTTTTCCTGGATCTGTCCTCCTCGAGACATAGTGTGTGGCTGTGATATTCAGCTCAGCTCCATTCTTCGTCATTCCTGCTTTCTCTCAGTGGATGGGAAATTCCTCTCTGTCCTAATATGACTAGGTACAGAACAGAGAAGACTTTTGGCTCTGCCATTCAGGATATGCCCTATGCTGTACATGGTCAGGGCAGTCCTACATGTCCAGATGTATAGGTCCAAGCTTCGAGAATGCGAAGTTCATACTGCAGCCTTGGTTCCCTCATTGCTCACTCCTAACTTCCAGTATGTGATTGCACTAGAAGCCTACCACTGACCTGACCAACACCTTCTGTTGTTTTCCTTATCCCTCATTTCCTTTGACACCCTAGACTGCTCACTCTCTGGCACACGCTGCTAGTCATCTGCTCCACATCCACACATTCCCAATTAGTGAGGGGCAGCAATTTGTCCTATTAGACATGTCCCCTGGTCAGAGGTGGTGATGGGTCTCAGATCTGGTTAATGAGATGTAAGCAGCGACTGCTGGCTGGGGCTTCCAGGAAAGCTCTTTTACTCCTGATCAATGGGAGCAAACAATTCACCTTTCCCTTTTGCCCTTCCCCTTCTTTTTGCCTAGAATACAGAGGTTGACCTGCTTCTTGTAGCCATGAGGATGAAAATCACAGACTGAAGCTGAAGGAGTTGGACACAGCCTGAGTCCTTGAAAGCATCCCCAAGGCAGTCACAGCAGCATTAGACTGCCTGCTGCTGGATTCCTTGGTGGTGAGAGCAGAGTTCTATTCCCTGCAGCCAAATGGAATCCAAGCAGATACAACTTCTTTCTTAAAACTTTCATCTTGCCTGTTCATAATGATTAAATCCTTGCTTGTCTGTCCTTGGCTGGCTTCTTTTCTTCCTTCTGCACTCTCTGCCCACCAGCATTGACCGGGCCAAGTTATGGTGTCCCAGAGGCCCCCGCAGGCAGTTACACAGTCACTTCTTTGGGCTTGTATGTGTTGCCCTACTGTGGGATTTTGTGTGTGTGTGTGTGTGTGTGTGTGTGTGGTGGTTCGTGTATGTAGGGGATGACTACATTCAGTGAAGGGAAATAGCTGCTCAGTCACATGGACCCCAGGGACCTCGGCAAAGTTCATCCTGCTACCTCACCTTACCCAGCAGTGGAAAAGCAAACAAAGGAGTCGTTTTTAACTAGCTAAATTTTGAATTTTGGAAACACCTGTTCTGCGTCCCAAATGGTTTGCATACTGGGTTTGGCCATAAATCTCTGGTTGTCTTAGGACAGGAATGGCAACTACCTGGTTCTTTTGACACCATTCTGCATGCTAGCTGTTCCCCAGTGGAGATCACTACTCGATCATACTATTTTGTGTGTTTGTTAATTTTGAGCCCAAAGCATTTTAGAATCTTCCTGGAAACAGTATTCAAGGGAGCCATTTTCATATCTTTGGGTCGGCATATGCAAAGTGGACAGTTTGACGGAGGTTTCACTTGCTTCTAAAGGGCCTCGGGGCTTCTTTAGGTGTGGAATGCAAGGATACTAAGCCTTTGGGATGGCACAATTCTTCTCATGGGATAAGACCAAGGCAAAAGTGGCTTGGGCAGACAAAAGGAAATGAGGGGATAATGACATTCTCTTTTCTTACTGCCCTCTTTAATCTTTGTATCTAATCCTCCTAAACCCCCAAATTGAAGTGTCTGTGTCTACTGTCCTGAGCTGATGTAGGGAGATGAGTGGGAATGGAAGCCGACGGGAAACTCATCAGAGACAGCACATTCTGAAGATCAGCAAAAGGGAAGTGTGACAGCCAACTTCTTGGTGGGGACGGCAGAAATGTAATTAAATTTTCTGATCTTGTTAGCCAATTTCTTCACTCACTGCCCCTGAACCAGAGAACGGGGAGGGAGGAAGGACACTGTTGCATCCGTGGCGGTGGGGAGGGAAATGAGCTTTTCACGGATTATTGGGTTAGTTCCACTTCTCCCACTTTTTAATTTATTTGTCTGCATGTTCTCCAGAGCTGAAAAGGCTCTGAGTCCTTTCCCATTTTCTTTTAATTAGATCTGATTTTGGAGTCTGAAAACTTGGGAGGGCTCAGGTTACACTAGCAGGATGACAACAGTTGGAAGGTACTCGTCTCCTATTAGATTTTTTAAAACTCCTTCAGAATTTAAGATTCCTAGTGATGGGTTATTTTTTTCTTTTCATTTCTTTCTATTTATTATTTAACAGTTATAGTACCACTTGCACTATTTATCACCTTATCCCATTTTCTTATCTTTTGGTTAAAAATCATGAACATCACCGATGTTTTACAAATTTCAGAAGAGTATGTATTTACTCCAAAGTCTTCTCCTTCATATTCTTCTTTTGCAAAATGGAACACAGATGAGGAAAGCTAGTTGTGGTCTTTCTGAGTATGTAAAAGGAGTAACATCAATTCTATGTTCTCTCTTTTTCGAAGCACAAGAAAAAAAGAAACAACAAACAACAAAAAGACTCACCAGAAAGAAACCAGGCTGTGGCTGTGGTGAATAATTTGGTTTATCACTTAAAACCCCTAGCAACAACATCCTGGGGCTAAGGACATCTGAAGCCTCAGGTGAGAAAGCCAAACATAGAATACTGGGTGGCTTGTGAAGAAACAAGAGCCCATTTCTTGGCTACAACCTGGATGTGCTTTTGCTGCAGAGGCTCTGTCAGGTGTCCTGGTGCCAGGATGGTATGTGTGCCTGCAGTGCATGGAGGCCTGCTGCACTGGAGAGCATTTGTTTTACAATTCATCCTGGGCAAGAGGCATTCTCCAGCGTTCTGCTTGGTGGCTCAAAATTTATGATGCTACAGGGCATGTTTGGGATGGCCTGACTTAAAATATAGGCTACACAATATATGCAAAGAGCACTTTGGGAAGACCTGTGGACACTTCAAATAAATGGGTAGCCATCCTCCAGAGAAGTTATAATTGAGGTTCCAAGGAAGCCTCTGTAACCGCTGACTGTGAGAGACAAGATATATGTATTCAGTGATTGTGGACCAAGAGAAATGATTCAAATATTAGCCTAAATTGAAAGCCAAAAGGCAGAAACTGAGTAAGTTTTACTTTAAAGTCAAGTTGTTTCATACATGGGCAGCCCAAAGGAGCCTGCTCCAGGATTACTAGAGCACAGATGTTTTCCCCCAGAGAGTTTCTGCGTTCCTGAGAACCCCCAGACAGCCCAGCTGGTAATTTTTGGAACACGTCACAAAAATGCCAACATGTCACATGTGAGGACAGTATGCCATTTAACTCAGAATCCACTATCCCAGCATCCGGCCTGGCGTGGGTTGAGGGATGAAACATTATTTTCTTGGGGGGTCTGTGAGGGGTCACAGAAGGTCCATGGAAGCCATGACATTTGGCTTGGACCTTGAGGGATGAAGGAAGTTGAAACTTGAGGAAGTGGGGAAGGAGGAAGGACATTTTCAGAAAAGGGACCTCCCTAAGAAATGGCATGAAAAGAGAAAAATATGCTGGGTACCTGAGAAATAGAAATAAATTTAACCTGGGCAACAGAAGGTATATGATGGGCTGGAAAGGTAGGCAGAGCTGAAGCTCAGAGAGCCCCCAATGTGCGGCTCACATTTGTATTTCAGAGAGTAGGAAATGTGGGCGAGGAAGGCTGATGGCAAAGGTGCTGAAGGAAGAATAAACTCTCTGAACCTTAGTTTCTTTGTAAAGTGAGGGTGTCGGACAAATTGCTTTTTCAGGGAATATTCTCTGAGCCTCATCTCAGCTGCTATAGAAAGAGAGCAAATAGCTTACAAATGTTGGCTGCCCATTCTAAACAACTCTGTCTTTCTCCCTTTCCTCAGAATGCAAGGAGAGAGAGAGAGAGAGGAAGACAGAGAGGGAGAGAGAAGAGGTTGCAAAACAAAAAGGTTCTAGAATCTTTAGATTCACAGACAAAAGACAAAAATCTTAAAAAATTCTGTGGAAAACAAATTCTTCGTTAATGTTGTTTTTATTACTTTTGTTTTTTTTTTTTTTTTTTTTTTTTTTTTTTTGAGACAGAGTCTAGCTCTGTTGCCCAGGCTGGAGTGCAATGGCCGGATCTCAGCTCACTGCAAGCCCCGCCTCCCGGGTTCACGCCATTCTCCTGCCTCAGCCTCCCGAGTAGCTGGGAGTACAGGCGCCCGCCACCTCGCCCGGCTAATTTTTTTTGTATTTTAGTAGAGACGGGGTTTCACCGTGTTAGCCAGGAGGGTCTCGATCTCCTGAACTCGTGATCCGCCCGTCTCGGCCTCCCAAAGTGCTGGGATTACAGGCTTGAGCCACCGCGCCCGGCCTACTTTTGTTGATAAAAGTGATGCTGCTTAAGTGCTCTTGCTAAAAGAAAAAAAGAAAGAGAACGAAAGAAGAAGAAAAAAAGGAATTCTGCTAGTTTGTCATAAACTTTTGCAGAGTTGTCAGACTTAGAAAACAGATCTTCTGAACAGATCTGCAGAGGCATGGGGTGCGGTTTGGTATGATGAGCATACATGATGTATTAAAGCGCACGCTGAGCGCAGAAATCCTCACTGCTTGCTACTATCCCACCGCTGCCACGGCCGGGTCCCCTGCATGCCTCAGCCACAGCCTGCTCACTGTATGTCCTCTTCCCTGAGAGACAGAAAATAACATAGAAACCTCTTCATGTGACCGTCAAATCACAGAATCATTATTGCATTTTAGGGCTAAGAGGAAACTTAGAGCCTTCGGCTAGTTGACAGATATGAAAATATTCCTAGGAATCAAACTATGCTAGGAAAACTGGGGCAGTGAGACCCACATATGTGAGTTTTGTAACTGCAGGTGAGGCGGGAATAACGTCTTAATATTAACAAAGATGGATAAACATTCCCCAAACTTTTCCCCGTGAGACACTGACTACACCCCCCCAACCTCCCACCTCCTTGGTTACAGATGGGCTTTTGGATTTGGAAGCTGAATGGATCTGAGACTGAGACAAGGGATGAGGTGGGGAAAATGCTGGGAGGGAGCTGTCACATTGTCTGTCCAGTTCCATGTGTCCACCCTTAGGCCTGGACTGCTGTGAGGTCAATGAACTTGGAGGAGAGCATTGTCCTTCCTCCTTTCTCAGGGAGTGCCTCCTCTCAAGGTGCCAAGCTCCTCCAGGCAGGTGACCTTGCTGGCCTTGCCCCACAGTGCTCTGCCTGGACTCAGACTCTGGCTGCTTCTTAGGGACAAAGATTAGGCAGGAGGTGGCCAGAATTTCCTGCCAGATGAGACCTAGCAACGGAGGGATGACTGATCTTCACAACACCAGCCAGAAAATAGTTGAGGAAAACTAACTGAAGTCAGTATTATTGACTATTGTGGATATCAATAATTTCTTTTGGACATTAAGCCAAATGAAAGCACAAGTAAAGGGAACAATAATTTTTGAACAAATATTAAACATGTAGTTTCTGATTTCAGACTGGTATATTGGAAAAGCAGTGCTCAAATACCCCAGAGCTAATAAAGATATAGCAGGCTTTCATTAAAACAGATATTAGAATGAAAGTACAGCTTCAACATACTTTTATACAGTGAAATATAGAATAAGCAGTTCTTTCATTAGGGATGGGGAAATCAAATTTTAAAAACAATGTCTAGTTAGAAGTTTTTCTACTGATCATCAATTCAGTACTTACTTCCAATATTAATAACTCAGCTAAGCACCTGGAAGGAGGCTTTTCTCTGCCGAGTTAATGAATTTTTCTGTGAGTCTTCATTTGATTGATTACATCATAGCAAGTGTGACCACATTAGACGCTGCCCTGGAAATATGATTATCTGAAGCAACAGTTAAAGAACAAGGAATTACTGAGGATGAACAAGTTCTATTTTAGAATTGTTTATGACAGACAATTCTGAGGCAAACAAACTCAAAATAGATACAGGAGAAGTGGGATTGTTTGCAATGTCTAACACAAAAGTAAAGGCTTTTGTGTATATTAGATACGCATTTCTTTAGGGAAATATTATAACTGAAAATTCCAATAAAACATTCTTATGTAGCAGAGAAAATAATTATAATGAATAAATATGAGCAGCAAAGTTGAAAGTAAGATAAGTCAACTTCTTTCTTCTCCATTTAAACCTATGAGTATAGGAGTCAGATACTGAAAAGCACTCTAGGATTCAGGTTCACAAATACTGGAGGGAGGTGGTGATCAGTTGAGGAGGCCCCCAGAGGATGCTTTATATTTGTTCTAAGGATTCCAGTGAGAGCAACAGACACCTGGAATGTCCTTGTTAGGAGAAACCTTAGCATTACTTTCCCAACCTTCCCTACTTCCCCGTGCTGTACTGTAAACAGAACCGGTTACATCATTTTACAAGGCCCCCCAAATAAAAATGCCGGGCAGGGCCCTTTATTGAAAAATTGTTAAGAGTTTGCAGGAGGCAACACAAAGCATTAAACCAAGTGTAGGGCTCCTCTAAGTGCTAGGTCCTGTGAGATATTACAGGTCGCATGCCCTGACTATAAATGCAGAAGCAGGGAGCGTAATGGCTCAGGGTTGCCCTCCAATAGACCTCTTTACTCCTTTTACTTGTTTCTACTGGCCCTTGGGCACCAAAAAGGTTGGGTGTAGGGGAAAAGAGGGGGAAATCCTATGCAGAAATCACACCATGCCCTTTTTTGTTAGCAGAGCTGGTCATGCCCTTCCTTCTTGCTTGCCCTTTAATCAGCTAAAAATGCAGGCACCTCCTCTTTGACCCAGGATCCTTTACTTATTTCCATATTCTCAAACATTGAATGTATACAGTGCCAGGCAGTGTGCCAGGGACTGAAGGTACAGAGGTGAACAAGACACAGTATTAGTCTTTGAGAAGCTCAATCTGGTGATGAGAGAACTTGACTTTTCTTATCTGAGAAATGGAAGAGAAGAATTCTACATGAGGTCGGGGAATGTGAGTTGTCATTTTCAAATAGAGGGAATAAAGTATAAATCCAGTACTTTGGCATCAGCTTGTCATTTTTCAGTGAGGGAGATCACATAGGAAGGCCATATCGCTTAGTAAGTAAACCCATCTTTATTTATCAGTGGTTTTGGATGGGCAGAGAAAGGAAATTGATCTTAACAGGTCAGGACTATAGGACCATCAGAGGGAGGTGAAATCTGATGGAGAAATGGGCTAGACTTCCTAGAACTTCCTAGAACTCACTGGAATGAACATCTTGACTCCTAGCAGTATGACTACATTTGTAGCACAACAGAAAGTGACTTCCTCGATGTGGCCTCTGCCACAGGTGCTTGTCCTCACAAGGGAGGTAGGAGAGTGAGGGAGAGTCATTTTATGTCATAGGTCTGCACAGAGAACTGGTTCAATACACTTGATTTTATCTAGTTTATGTCTTATTAGACCAGTCACAGAAGGGAAAATGAGTCCTTTTGATACCTTTAATCACCGTCGCAGTTCCTCTTACCTCAAGAAAGCTTTCCTGAGGAAGGGAGGTTTTTCCAAGTCTCTGAGGGATAAACTTCGTGGTTGCTGGCTTCAGAACAGTGTGTTTTTTGCTTTGTATTTGTGACAGACTTTTTCTTTCCCCTTCTGTGAATGTTAACTAGAACACAACAGATTTCTTTTGGGTATGGTTGAAAACATTCTGATTTTCATTTTTCCTGAAAATATTTTGAAGGTGGGTAAAGATGGTCTTTAAATGCTGCTCTTGGAAATAGTTTTTCTCAAATTGTGTTTACAGCATATTAAACTAAATAAACATTCTAAAGACACAGATGTTGGAGTGCTATCTGAATAATGTCAAATTAAAATTGTCAAGTAGGAGGTTGGAAAAAAGCATATGTGGTTGGTTTGCTGCATGATCTGGACTCAACGGGGATTCCATCAGCAGGCAACCTGTCCTTTTATCCACAGCTCATTTCAGCATGATGTGTAGATTTGTTCTTGCCTGCTCCTTAGGTGGAATTTGGGGCAAATTCCATAATTTTTTAGGTCATTCTCAGATGACAAATTTCTCTCTGACCAGTTCTAGTGTCAAAAATGTCCCACTTCAAATAATGAGACTATTCTATCCAGTGTCATAATCGTCTAACTCCACGCCCTTGTCAAGGTTAAAACATCTCCCTTCTCTGAGCAAACTCAGGCTGCTTTGGACTGGGAAGCCTGGAGCAGGGAGGGGAAGTCAACTGTTTTTTCATCTCCTTGGATTACTGGATTGTTATTATTATCATTTGGATTGGATTATTGATCTCATTCTTTACTCCCTCCCTCTGCCATGCGCTCTTTCAGTACAATCGACAGGGTGTACTTTACCACCTCATTGATTCTTGAACTTGGCCAATGGAGTGAGAGTAGTTATGATGCAGGCAGAGCTTACTAAGTGCCTGAGTGCTTTGGCTTGCTCTCCTGCACTCCTGTGATCAGCGTGAGAAGGACATGCCTCAGGTAGCCACTGTCCCTTCAGCCAGAATGCAGGCAGACCTGGTTTAACTATAGCTTAGCACAACCTGAAAAGCATTGATTGCCATCCTCTGGAATGTGAGGATAATTCGCATCAAATGTTTTCTTTTTCACCTTTGGGAACTCAGGAGGAATTGAGACAATTTTACGTTTTTACATCTTGATGGATAATATATATTTTCTTCTGTGGAATTGGGAAAAAGTATAGAGCCACACTGTGTTATAATCTAAGTGAAACATTTTGCACAGTGCCTGGCACATGATAAGCACTCAACAAAAAGAAATTTATTGTGGGTTACTGGTATTATTAGTTGACATCTTTTCTACAGGAACAAAATTACTCAAGGACTTTAAAATTACTGTTTGTGAGTAAAGAGAATGCCTAGGAGTTTCCTAGCTTTGAAAACTATTCTGGGCAACTCAAATGCTGCTGATTGCATTTCTCACTGGACGTTATTCCAGGACTCAGGACAAGAGAGGTTCAGAGTTACAGCCTACCTATCCTCAGTGCTACTCCTGTAAGCACTTACATGTTTTATTCATGGGATCTTCCTTTATTTCCAGAATATTCTTTAAGTGCCTATACTGGGAATATTCCATTTGCTTCTTCAAATCCATTCTTCCCACCCTTTCCAACCTTGTTTTTTCCAGTAGGGGATCAAAGGCAGGAGGACAAAGAGATCAGCATGTTTACTTCCTCAGATTCTCCCCTACTGACTTTGAGCCTACTTCATCCCTCTACTAAAGACCATAGCTCCTGTCGGTCAGCTTCCTTCATAGAGCTACCCACTGGAGGAATTATGTTCCTGTAACTACTCCCTCCCATTGCCCTTTCAGGCTTGGAAGGCCTAACAGCTACCTGCTGCTGTCAGTCACAGGCTACTGCATTATCTTCTGTGATTTCTCTGAACCAGTGCTTCTTGGTTGCACATTAGAATCACCTGAGGAACTTTTAAAAAATTTCAATCTCATGCCCAGGCTATACTCTGGACCAGTGAAGTCCATCAGAATATAATTTGAGCCACATAGTAATCTTAAAGATTCTAGTAGCCATATTATTAAAAGTAAGAAGAAATAGGTCAAATTAATTTTTGAAATTATTTTTTCTAACTCAGCACAATCCAAACATTATCATTTCAACAAGAAATTATTTTTAAAAATGATGGAGATATTTTGTATTCTTTATTTCTCTTTGTACCAAGTCTTCAAAATCTGGTGAATACTTTATATTTACAACATATCTTGATTTGGACTAGCCACATTGCAAATGCTCAGTGGCTACATGGGGGCTACTGGCTACCTTATCAGACAGCACAGGTCTAAATTAATTTGGTCAGGTTCCTGGGGATGGGACCCAGGCAGTAGTAATTTTTAAGACTCCTGAGAATATTACATTTAATATGTAGGAAGATTGAGAACCACTGTCTTAAACCCTGCTCACATCTTTATAAATAGCCCTTTATTAAATTCTCTTTAAATTACCAAATTTGAAAATGTTATCTGTTTCATGCCATGTGCCCAGTACTGGGTGGGAATATGGAGGTGACTTAGGCAGAATGTATCTCCTCTGGCAAGTTCTAATGTTGAGCAGAAACTGGACAGGTCAGCAACCATTGCAGTGTGAGGAGCAGGGCTGAGTGAGCCTACAGGCAGGCCAGACACACCTTTAGAGCACCTGCATATGGGGCCACCAACAATGTGAGAAAAGTGGAGGAAATGAGAATGTTATTAGAATTCCTCACACTTTATATAATTGTATATTGTGTGTATACAAGTGCAGAGGAGGGTGGAGAGGTAAGTACCACCATTTTGGTGCCTGTGTCCTCTGATGGCTGTCAGAGCTCTGATGGTGGGGAATGTCTGGGAGCTTAGAGGAGGGAGGGTACGTCATCTCCATTTTCTGGTGAACGTCAGTCAAGGGTCAACTGAGTTTATGAATTTCTTTCAATTCCATGTGGCCAGTATCCCAGTTGTCTGCAATACAGATTCCTGCTGCCCCTAGCAAACTGGGTGTGTACTTTCTAGGCCTATCAATTTGTTAAAGATCAGTGTTTTAAGTCAATTATCTTCAGCCTGGCTTTCGGGGTTACCTCTGGGCATAGACCTTGGTTGCTGAGAACTAAGTATGTCTAAGTGTAGGGTGACCACTTCATCCTGGTTTGCCTGGGACTTCCTTGGTTTTAGTACCGAAAGTCCAGCATCTCAGACACCTCATTGGTCCTGGGTGAACTGGGACAGTTGGTCACCCTATGTGAGATCTGCCTCCTGGCTACTCTGTCCTGCTGCCTCTGCTGCAGCCGGAGGGCAGTGAGGTCTTGCTCCCTGCAACCCCCACAGAGCTTAGGCACAGGAGGCCATGTTGTAACAGTCTGTTTTCCTCTGTGGCCCACACCATCAGGTGAATTCCATGTGGAGTCTGTGC